AAATCATAACAAGTAAAGAGATTATAATTTAAAATATAGATAAATATTCAATGTATATTATATTATATATATATATGCAAATTATAATTTAACATATACTGCAAATGAAAATTATATAAAATTTTTATTTATATCTGTATAGTTTGACAAATGTAATCTCTGGTGTATCAAACGGATCTAAAGTATCTCTTAATTGCCTCCTTATAATATTTGGATATTTTATTGTTGTCTTTTATTATCATTATCGTCGTCGTTTTATATTATCATAGCAATAAAATAATTCATCTTACATACGTAAACTTTCTCAAAGTATGTGTGATATAGAGGATATTAAACAACACTACGCACTATTTTGACGTTATTCGACACAGAATTTCTTGCCGAACAGTTCATGCGAGTTAGTTCGTATTTTCACTATAAGCGTTTTCGATTGGGGTGCACTGGCTGCACTGAATGTCAGGCGCGTGTTCGATTGGTAGTGCCAATGCGCACTTGGCTAGTGTTGCGTATTCGTTTGAACGCACAACACTCGCATAGTGCGCACTCAGTGCGCACTAAGTGGCACGAGATATTTTGACGGTGCCAGTTCAGTGCACTGGATGCATGCAAGCAGTAGGGCATTCTTTTGAACGAAAATTCGACATAATGAACAATTCGGATTTGGCTCTCTTTAATATTTTGGAAACATTTTTGGAATCTTCTTCTAGTTCAAGCGAGCAAGAAGAAATAATTACAACTCTTCGAACTAGAAGAATAATTCCAAAAACTATAAATTATGTAGAATGTGTGAAAAAAATGGATAATGACACCGTAAGTGTTATATCTTTTTATATAAACATCGAACCTATACCCTTTTTTAAAATATAATTAATGTACTTAATGTAATAGCATTTTTATACTGAATAATAATAATTTTTATATTTGTCATACGTGATATTCTTGATCATCTTCTATATTTAATTACACATATAAAAAATCATTACTTAACTGAACACAAGATGTCGAGGTTACTTTTTCGTTCTTCCCGGAATCTAGTCAACTCAAGTGGCACTGAAAATTTCGGCGTGTTCTTTTTTACCTACACTATTCAGTGCAACCCATGGAATTTGTCCAGTGTTCGTGTGAACTGAGTGCGCACTGGTGCGCACTAACTTTTCCCAATCGAAAACGCTATATGATGAAAGTTACCCAATCAAGCGAGAGCTCATTTTCACCATACTTTAAAATATACAATCAATCCCCAGATTTCAGATGTGTATACGTGTATGACAGCCGAAAATCATATGCACACATACGTAGCGCGACATTGTATGTGTCGTTTGAAGCGTGGCGGAGATCAAGGAGCGAAGGAGAAAGTAGGGGTACTCGATATTGCATCTCTCTCAAACATCGTATGATCGAGAGAGAAAGCAATACAAGACGTGGTGTCATTTAGTGGTGTCTAGTAGCTGTCTCACTCACTCGACTATGAATTGAAGGAGTGCGAGTGAGACAGCTATACGGACATATGGACACCGCGGGTCGCGCTTGTCTATCGATGTCTCGTTTCCTCCGTCGTACATTTCTGACGTCGGACACCATTCCTGCCGGTCAGTGTACAAGAAACTAAAACTAATAGCGTTTTCGATTGGGAAAAAGTTAGTGCGCACCAGTGCGCACTCAGTTCACACGAACACTGGACAAGTTCCATGGGTTGCACTGAATAGTGCAGATGAAAAAGAACACGCCGAAATTTTCAGTGCCACTTGAGTTGATTAGATTCCGGGAAGAACGAAAAAGTAACCTCGACATCTTGTGTTCAGTTAAGTAATGATTTTTATATATGTAATTAAATATAGAAGATGATCAAGAATATCACGTATTTATCAATAATTGTATGCATTTCATTTTTTGGAAAGAAATCTGATTGCTGAAAACCATCTATTAATTGCTCACATGTTTCTGGACACATTTTGAAGTGCCTACAAAAACTATGACAAATATAAAAATTATTAATTCAGTATAAAAATGCTATTACATTAAGTACATTAATTATATTTTAAAAAAGGGTATAGGTTCGATGTTTATATAAAAAGATATAACACTTACGGTGTCATTATCCATTTTTTTCACACATTCTACATAATTTACAGTTTTTGGAATTATTCTTCTAGTTCGAAGAGTTGTAATTATTTCTTCTTGCTCGCTTGAACTAGAAGAAGATTCCAAAAATGTCTCCAAAATATTAAAAAGAGCCAAATTCGAATTGCTCATTATGTCGAATTTTCGTTCAAAAGAATGCCCTACTGCTTGCATGCATCCAGTGCACTGAACTGGCACCGTCAAAATATCTCGTGCCACTTAGTGCGCACTGAGTGCGCACTATGCGAGTGTTGTGCGTTCAAACGAACACGCAACACTAGCCAAGTGCGCATTGGCACTACCAATCGAACACGCGCCTGACATTCAGTGCAGCCAGTGCACCCCAATCGAAAACGCTATAAACTAACTTCTAGGAACTTCTAGATTGGACTATGAGTTGGTAATCCTGAATCCAAAGTTTCTCATTGTCATCACGCGAGGTCTCTAAGGGTACGATTACATGGACGCGCGGAAACGCGGAAGAGAAAGTAACTAAACTTTACTAGAGTCCCGCATTTCCGCGCGTT